GAGGTGCATTTCAGGAATTTTGCCTCGGATCGCAGAAATTTTATGCTCGATTCTAGAAATCGCAAGAGATCAAGAACCTTCTAGAAGCTTCTAGTACCTTCGAAGGTTCGTGAAACTGTTCGACCCTTTCGCCCGATACTTCGTAGCGATTTTTAGTGATTCTCACGGGTTGCCAAGATAAGGGCATCAATCTTTGCTAACCGGAGTCACGATCTCTTGAGAGTCACAGGATCGTACGGTCGGATATCCAACGGAGAACCTTGGCGACTGCCCCAGTTTCTTTTTCTCGCGATGGCGACGAAATGCTCGGATATGCAAAAACAAATTCGCATTTTTTTCCATTCGAAAAAATGTTAATCTCAAAAAAAAAGAATAAAAGATACTCCTTTGACAATAATAAAAAAAGGGTTATCACGGGGTATAACGTAATCTCTCTTTTTATTGCATCAAGCGAACGATTCACTGTGCTTTATCTCCGAGCTAAAAGCGATTCAAAGCGTGTTTTGATGAAAGAAGAAACTCTCGTTTGTAAAGTAAAAAGAAACGAGACCGAAGAAAAAACGCTGCGTTTTCCAAGATTATTAACTTTAATAGCTGCTATAAAGTGTGACTTTTTTTTTCCCTTTTTTGCTCACTACGCATTTTCGTACGTGATTTCATCGAGGTCGCGTGGCGACTCACACAGCATTCTCATGAACTTGGATGTTTTTGAAGATGCGGACAAAGGCATATCTATATAGAATTTTAAAGCTTATCCCATATATTGCTGTTCTTAATACTTTTCTTTTTTTTTTCTTTTTTTTTTATTATTTCACGAGCTATCGACAAATCTGCGATCGCAGCGAAGTGCGCGTGGGCCTTGACCCGATAGAGCCGCCGCGAACAGCTGACAGCACGTAGTTGACAGTTGACAGCCGAGGGGCATTGGGATAACGAGAAGTAATACTGGAAGCCTTCTTGATTTATGTTTAAAGTTAAATATTTTCATGTAAATTCCTGGCCGTTATCACGAGAGAACAAAGAGAGACCGAGTAATCGCGACGAGTCTTTGCTGATACCGTAAATTCATATATAAATTTCCAACACAGCTGTCGGAAAGTTTTAAAAGATTTATCAACGAATTTCGCGAATATTCTGACAAATTTGTTTGTAACGTCAATTGTATTAATATATGGGATATTTTGTGTGAATTTGATTTAAAGACGAAAAAAAAAAAAAAAAGAAATCAATTAATTCCTCGAAAAATTATCACCACATTTGGCGTAACTTGGGTTAATCTCTCGATTACTACAGACACGAATAAGTAGGATATATTTTTTTTTATATAAATGACGAATACAATTTTGTCGATTACGTGCAATAAATGTACTGACAAATCACCGATTAATCGATCCCGATATAATTATTCCACGATAATATTGATTAAGCTAATCTCTCCGGCGCTTTGTTCAGTTTCTTGAAGTATACTTACTACCGTACCGATTGCGCAAATAGGACCAATTTCGAGCTGGTTTTTACTTCGCGACGACTTTCTACTACGGTGTAAGTGTGCTCCATTACATTTTCACAAACGGTCGGATCGGCAGGGCCGTGTTGATTGCACTTAAATACTATCGAGAGCGAACCCCCGGCACCTTTCGCTCCAAGTAATAAGACCGATCCTCGCAAAGAGTAACTCCAAACTCATTTGTCGTCTCGGTCGTAATTCTCCAAAATTAACGTAATAATCAAAAGTCAATATTTTATCGACTTTCCAATTGCCTCTACGATTATAATTTTAATTTATTCCAACCGTAAAACTTATAGTAACGATCACCGTTACACTTTCTGACAGCGTGAAAAATCCCCAAGTAGTCACATTCGCGAGGTGGACAGACGTACTCCTTATACACATGGATACAGTGATACCTATTAGACAACAGTCACACATGTGACTAACTGGACGGCAGTAACTGGAACGCATGTGAGGGTAACGAAATCGAAGGTTAAAATTGAAACGAGAAACGTGGTGCGTGTGTATATATATATATATATATATATATATAGGTGGATATCGTTATATCAGGTTATTTTGAAACGACAAAGTAGTCGGGGTTCAAACGAGAAACGTGGTGCGTGTGTATACCTATTAGACAACAGTCACACATGTGACTAACTGGACGGCAGTAACTGGAACGCATGTGAGGGTAACGAAATCGAAGGTTAAAATTGAAACGAGAAACGTGGTGCGTGTGTATATATATATATATATATATATATATAGGTGGATATCGTTATATCAGGTTATTTTGAAACGACAAAGTAGTCGGGGTTCATTGAGACGTGACATAAAATTATCATAAGACAGTTACGCCTTCGTGAGATTGTCGTTTTATCAAAGAAAAAAAAAAAAGCCTTCTTCATCGGACAAGCACAGTTACGCTTTAGTATCTGACGGTTTTACGACTTTTCGTCTTACCGAGCTACTCGTGCTCCGCCACTGGAATTCAATCGCACATGAGATTGTCAGTGCTTTCTTAAGTTCGCATACGTAGAAAAGAATCTTCAGACTTTTCCTCAGCTCAGCCACGCGTCGCTCGTAAAAATTTCCAAAAAATGCAGAATGTTGTTTTAAGAATTTAAAAAAAAAATTAATCAAAAGCAAATACAGTAGGTCGCATAATGAGAGAGGAAGTACCTCGAGTATTTCGTCCCGAGAAGTGACGTCACCAAACTTCGATCCCACTCTCCATTGAATTCTCCATCTTTGCCTTCCTCGGCTTCCGGTTCCTGCCACAATTTTTCCTTCTTCCGCCGTCCACGTAGCACGCGATGCAAACGGACTGAGGCTGGTGCAGGCCAATGCAGTGCAAGACAAAAGACAAGGAAATGACGAAGGACAGAGAGAGAGAGAGAGAGGAGAATGGTCGGAAAGTAGTTAGCAAAACTGACTATAGCATCGATATACTATACACAGGCCTTTATCCAGGTATAAAATAACCCAGAAATGGATATAGATATATATAGATACCTGACGCACGCGATTTGCACCCCGTAAAAAGAGCTTATGAATACAGAAAAATGTTAACGAAGATCGTTAAAATTTTCTCCATAAAAACGAGACACAGAGTCGTTAAGTTGAACGCGATTAGAAACGTTGAATCGGCATAGAAAGAAATCACGGTAGATGCAGGACATTAGAAATGCATCATGCGGAAGTGCATCCACGCATACCGTAGAGTGGAGGTATGTGTAGATCGTACGATTGCATAATGCACAGTCTCACGGAGTTTTATCGAGTATACAGAAAGCTCGCAGAAGAAGATGGTATAGTACATAAGGATAATGAAACTGGAGAAATAGATACGTGTACATAGGCGTATGTGGCTTGGATTGGGTGG